AGACCGTTTACCGCAATGGCAAATAAAGTGACACTCAGAACCGAACCCTGAGGAATCCCGTTTTCTTGACTGAACGTACTAGAGAAGGCAGTACCTCACCCGGAATCTCCTCATTTCGAGGAAGCTTTTTAAAAATTTAGCTATGATATTGTATATTGTATATTACATATTGTATATTATATATTGTATATTTTATATTACATATTGTATATTATATACTGTATATTGTATATTATATATTGTATATTGTATATTTTATATTGTATATTTTATATTGTATATTTTATATTGTATATTTTATATTGTATATTATATATTGTATATTATATATTACATCATCTTTTGTTATCTTATTTACTCATTTGGTTTCTGAGACTTTTTGACATGTACTGAACTAAATACGGAAGACGAAGTTTGAACAATATTTTTGTAAGTTTCACTACTTGATTTTATTTTGCGTAGGGCGATCCCCCATACAATTTCTGATCATGAGGCTTTATCTCACATTTTGTAATGATTCTGTTGATTTTGGGGATCGTAATTGTACTATTCTACCTGTTACTAACCATGGCGACGTTTTATTTATTACGCTAGCACTGAACTTAACATTGATGGAAATGAGTTGTTAGTACGACTCTGCCAATCACAGTTTTTTGAGAAAAAAATTCATTGCCCACGAATAAAGGAATAAACTCATGCTGTATTCCCCGGATGAAGGTAAGTTAGTTAATTGACGAAATGACGGGAAAAACTTATAGAGATAATCTAAATCAGGCTAAGATAAACTATAATTAATTATTTAATAAAAAATAATCTGCCCATCTTAAAAAACAATGTGTAAAAAGATTAATGAAAAATGAACCCTGTGATTCCAATGCAAAATCAAATACTTTAATTTTTGCGTGATTTGAACATATTATGTTACATCGCTTTCTCCTCTTGGAGAATACATAAAATTTTTTGTCGCTGTTTTGATATTTGATGGTTAATTTTTCGTTTGCAAGTGTTTTTGTGTGATTTTGAAGCAACCATCTTTGTTTAGAAGATGTATTGATTTCATACTCTTTCCCTAGCATTGTTTTCTACTCTCTATTGTATTGTATTAACAATTATATGTAATGTTTAACGTGAATTTGTTAATTTGTTAAAACATTTCAAGCCGTTCTTTTCTGAAAGATTCTTATATTTCTCCCTCGTAAATTTCCTTGTTCAGTTTTCTATTCATAGGTTAATGTGTTTATAACAGTTTATTTTATCACTAAAAATGAAAATTACGGCGAGTAATTAATTATACCGTATTTCAATTTATGAACATGATCAAAGGTTGTAATTTTGCAAACTGTGGGCAGCAAAATTAAATAGCCGGTTTTTTGTTTGTTTTAATTTGTGAATATTAAAACAATCTCATTATCCTGAAAGCGAAGAGTCGCTTTAAATCCTGTTGATCAGTGATGAGTATTGAAGGAAATATTTCCGTACAAAGGATGGTTTTATAACGTATTAATTTAAAAACCCTGTTTTCCTGTTACATGTCACAGTGTTTATAAAATTTAACTTTGTTTTTCTGGTTTTTATAACAGCAACTAATTTTTTCACAAAATTTTCACATTTTCCAGCAGCTGTTGTCATCTTCTAAAACGCGTACAAATATGGTCGATAATGGCAATTATTGTGACTAGTACAATTTGACCTTAAGCCTGTCGGGGCATAACGCTCTCGGAAGGGGCTTACCAGCGGTCAAAGCAATATCGGGCCTTGTATAGCTTTGTTCCTTTGTCCTTTCCCCTTACAAAGGTTCAGAGAACCTTTCGAAATGCCTCGGTTCAACACCGAGGTTGTGAATAGTAGCTTCTGTGCGTGTGCGAAAACCAAAGAGCTGACCAAATGATCCTAGAATTTATGGCGATTATATATTAGCTGAGATATTGAGATAAAAGGGAAACAGTGAGAGGAGGGGGAGGGGGAGNAGAGAGAGAGAGAGAGAGAGAGAGAGAGAGAGAGAGAGAGACGGAGAGAAAAAATTTACACTAAAATACAAATTACCCATACAGTTATACGTAATACTTACGTATTTTATAGCCTAACCTGGTAAATACAGTAAACTGTGATAACATCAAGATAAATATTAAAATATTGTTCTTATACCAAGGGAGAATCCATGTATATGTGCCACTAGCAATTACAGAAATACATAGTACACAACTTTTTCTTGACAATTGGATATTACTAGATATTGTAGATAACTTTTTTTTAAGGGTCAAGTAAGATTCCAGCCTTTTCTCCACTGCGACTTATTAAGTAGCTCCATTTTAGAACTTTTATACCGTGGAAACTGCGCTTTTATTTACCAAACTAAGCACTTTCGGTGCTTCCTTCTTGGGTCATCTTTCGAGTGAGAATTGGCTTACCGAAGTAGCTATACCGTATGGGGTACGGCATGAAATTTGAAGTACATGTGATGTCCGTGGTTTTTTATTTATTTTGCTTCTGTCTCTGTTTTGCTTATCTTCTTGAGGTGGTAGTTAATTGAGTAGTGGCTTATAATTTTCATCAATTTTTTTTCTGCTGAGAGGGAGAGAAATAGTCATTTTTTTGAGAGATATGAATCTCACTCCATGCCTTATACCCGGTGCTTTCGTCCAGTGCTTGAGTTTTTTCTCTCGCCATTTTGCAGGCTTCAACTTAGAATAGTCTTCGGTGCGCTTAGCTGTGGTTCCGGCCTACTGGGTGAACGAACATTTCCTTCTATGCCTAGGTGTCCTGGAATTACCTCAAGGTCACCTTGCTGAGTTTTTTAGGAGCATTCGGCAATTTATAATATAAGAATACGCATTTAGTACCTTTAGAGTTTTCTAGATTTATAGACTACAAAAGTTTGTAGATATACGGATTCAATTCTCTTCTGAATTTTGTTAAAGCTTTTCTTTTTATTTCTTTGTATCTCAGGAGTTCCTTTCCACTCTCGAAACCAATGTTTGTACCTATATGAATGTTTAAGGATAAAAATCGAATACGGGTCCCATAACTGTTGTTGGACAAGTTGCCACCGTTTTGTTAAAATACTTTAGTCTTTATAAACTTTTGCTGAACCGGTATAGGCTCACTTATTGTGTCTTCACTCGCGGTTTTGTTGAATTATTCACATGCGTTTCGGGTTTGCGCCGTCTTCTGTAAGGAATTCGTAGAGATCTTCAGTTCCTCACTGAAGATGGCGCAAAGCCGAAACCTTTTGAACAATTCAACAAACCCACGATTGAACACCCAATATGTGACCCTATGCCAGTTCAGCCTGAGTTCACAGATTCGCAGACCAACATCAACTTGTCAACTTTGCTGTTTGTTCTATGCCTTCTTATGCAATGGTTTTGCCACCATAGTAATGCCACCAGGGGTTTGATCTTTCTGGTGTACAACCAGAACGCAGGGTTTATTCCTCAATGTTAACTGCATAAATTAATCATAATCATTCTTGTTTGCTTCTTCTTATTTTTATTAATAAGTACGTATGGATTTTTTACACCCTATGTTTTTTTTTTTTGCACATCAATAATAATTTATGTGTATTTAAGAATATTTCTGTCAGAAATAATAACATCACATTTATAATTTTAATTTACTCACGTAAATTAGAAAAACGACTACTTCGAATTAAAAAATGTACCTTGCATTATACGCTGGTAGTTGGTTCTCTCCAGTAGTGATAAAAAGTTTTTGTTTTCTTCTCCTGAAACGTGTTTTCATTGGAAAATCCTGGAGAATCTAGATCCCGGGAGAAGGCTTAATTGAATAAGTATAGACGCGAGGAATGCTTTTCTGCTTGTGCCGCCACCCGAATTACCCAGAAAAAGACCCTTCTCTCTCAACCTCTCTCACTCTCACTCTCTCTCTCTCTCTCTCTCACTTTCTTAAATTAGTTAGAATTAAACGGAGAGGAAGCCGGGTCTCGGTTATCGATATGATTTTGCTGGGATAACTTTTGGGCTTAAAAATAGAACGGTGGTACGATGGAAGAAAAAAACACTATAGACTGAAAGATTTCCTGGCTATATTAAACAATTTTAATAATTTTGTAATTAATTAATTTTTAATAATTTTAATTAAATTAAATTATAATTTTAATAATTTTAAATATCCATTTAGTGTCGTCTGCATACATAAAAAAGAAATTTACTTTAATTTTATTTTGATGATGACTTCAGCTTTGAAACTCGCAAATAATAGATTAGATTATAGATTATAACACACAAGACCAAAAAGCTATTGCATTATCAGCATTGGCTGCAATCTCAGTTCGTTAGAAAAAATAATTGTTCCGAAATCGAGAGATGCGGTCTGGTGTGATGTAGGTTTCAGAAAAACATTTTCTTTATCATGCCACGTTTCGATCTTTATTGAGATCATCTTCAGGGCCTGGGATTTACAAACATGGTTTAAATTTAACAAATACAGTAGGATGTGGAAAAAAGTGAATTTATACAATGCAAAATATATTTTTTTATATTCAATCAAAGTATTTCTACTCACTCAAAGTGTTTATGTTATTTATTTGGATTATTTATTATAGTAAAATTATTATAAATTATTATACAGCCAAACAATTTTCGGGAAAAATATCCTAAGAATCAGAACTAAAGTAGGCTTAACTCACACGATACTTTTGATGTGTGAAAGGGCTAAGCAAATAATCAGTATAATGCTATGCCGTATTTGGTTTTAGAGTCGGATCACTAGTGGCGAAGTTTGTGAGATATCGGTGGTATTAGCCAGAGGGATGTCGGAAAACCGTAATTATTCGAAAGGGGCAAACGCCTATCTGTCGTGGAACTTTGACATGCTGGAATGTTTCCAAATCCTTATCTTAGTTGGTGAACAAGTATCTGGATTACCAGAGGATCTGGTCGGACTGGAATTTACCAGAATACGGCGAGCCTTTGGTAAATAGCACGAAGAGAGAGTGAGAGCGGAAGGAAGAGAGGAAAAATCAATTTACAATTACTTACCAGTGACGTTAAGACGTATCGGTGATAATCTCCGAGCATGTCGACTTCTTTGGCGTCAGCGAGAGCTTTCAAAATTTTGTCGGCCGAACAGTCCAAAATTATTCTCGTCTCCGATAACATTTGTTTGAATATCGGTCTGAAAACAACCAAACATAGTGATATAGAATGTTGAGAAAAAACATAATATACCACACACATTTACGTATAGATAGTTTTTGCATGCAACATACACAAATAAACTGCCCTTTGGAAAAATTCCGGTTATTCATTAAAAAAAAAACAAAAAAATGCAACTTACTTAGTACACGAATATTAAATTTACGCAGGTTTGTCAATAAGTCTCATCATACATTTTCTTAACCCTTTATATATTAATGTGGGAAATTTAGGGGCGGACAAACAGCTGAGCGCATCGCCGGCCCTCTGCATATGTGAGTGTGTTGTGTGTGTGTAGTGAGTGAGAGAGGGTGAGGGAGAGGGGGAGAGGGGAGAGAGAGAGAGAGAGAGAGAGAGAGAGAGAGAGAGAGAGAGAGAGAGNGAGAGTGGGGGAGAGAGAAAGTGAATACATCCAATATCGTCAAAACCTGGCGCAACAGAACAACCTGATGATACCTTGGATACCAGGACACAAAAGAATTTTGGAGAACGAATAGGCTGTCAAACGGGTCAGAGGAGGATCTGCAAAAACATATATAAGCCCTGAACTTTCCCATTCAGTTCCAAATTTCAAACCCACATTTATCTTACAAGTTAAATACGACCCTTTCCAATCATTGGAAAACACAACCAATACCAACTACGATTTTAACTGAGTGAGGCCAATATTACCCCATGTAGCGAAAATTTGCTGATTAGCAGTTGTGCTCAATATAAGCAACAGAAGGCCAAGCTCATCAGAAAACTGGTACTAAACGGAGATCAGTGGCCACCAACACCAGCACAGTTAGTGTGTGAATATTTAAATGACTTTCAATTACACATATATTATATGGACTTTAGAATCAGCTGAAGTTGTGTAATCAATCATTAAGACTGAAACTGAAACCGAATATGTACATTTATATGATTCCATTCTCAAATCCAAATAATAACTCTCTCTCTCTTTCCAGGTTTTCTGCTGAGAGGAAAAATAAAATCCTTAACCTAACCCTAACCAACCTAATTTTACCTATCCCAACCCATGCGCATTCGCCAGAAACAAGAAATCGATGGCTTAAAAACTAAGTGTCTCTACCCAAAAACGTATTCATGTTAAAATAATTTTTCCTCGTAATCAGCAATAAAAAGGATCATTAAAGTCGGTTGAAAAATCATCGATCTTCTCGGGGAATTAGCGCTCTCTTGTTTTCTTTAATAAGAGGTTTGACCGGGGGATCGATATACCTCGTTAAAATTTTGAAAGGCCTTTCAGCCCTTCTTTATTAGAGGTGTTTGCCCGTCGTTACGCTACTTCTAACTTTTCTGTTTTAGACACGTCTTCATTTGAAAAGCCTGATTGTCCAACGAGGTTTTAAGTCGTTATACAACCAGAGAACGTAGAAAACTGTTACTTGTCTGATACTGTTTGAATTTGGTCAAAATGAGATTAGAATCTTTGAATGAAAAGAAAGTAACATTTAACGAGCTATGAGGCTATTGATCGTTTTATACCTTTTAATTTCACACAAATGACACAAGAGATACAAAGGGAGCAGAGCTGGGCAAATTCCAGTCCATTGACAATTTAAAAGTAATCATTAAAAGCAATCATTAAAACTGATTAACTATTAATGTTTTTAATCTAACTTTAAAAGAAGGAGTAATGGACTAACAGGTTAATCGTGAATTTAGATAAATTTGATTAACAATTAAATGGGTCCAGCGTCAATCTAGATTAATTGATTAATTAGATTAATCGTTAATCAAAACTGCGATTGATTAAATTAATCATTAAAAGTTATTCTAGATACACGATTGATTAATTAATTGTTCACATTACTGCACTTCAGTATATTGTTCTTATTAACCTACGATCTGAAAATAATTAATCTTTGTATAATAATTTGCTGCTTCAATTTTACAACAGTAACTTTTCAGTATCGATTAGACTATTCAATTAATTGCTTAAATTTGCTTCGATAGGATCGATAGCGGTTGAATATTAATTTTTAAAAATTAATCAGATTAATTTAATCAATCGCAGGCTTGATTAACTATTAACCTGGTTAATCACAATCTAGATTACCGATTAACTTTCTTTATTATTTCTTTATTATTTTTTTAAATTATTTAATTAACTCAAAGGCAAATGAATGATGTAGGGATAGATGATAGATGTTATATCAATTAATATGAAGAGAGGGAGAAAGAAAGAAAGAAAGAAAGAAAGAAAGAGAGAGAGAGAGAGAGAGAGAGAGAGAGAGAGAGAGAGAGAGATAGAGTTAAATAAAGGGCAAGTTAGGATACATAANTTATAATTTTTTTAAATTATTTAATTAACTCAAAGGCAAATGAATGATGTAGGGATAGATGATAGATGTTATATCAATTAATATGAAGAGAGGGAGAAAGAAGAAGAAGAAGAAGAAGAAGAAGAGAGAGAGAGAGAGAGAGAGAGAGAGAGAGAGAGAGAGAGAAATAGAGTTAAATAAAGGGCAAGTTAGGATACATAAAACCTTCAAAGTTACATAGTCTTTCATTCTTGAATGAAATTTTATATCCTCATTCTGTAATTTGCTTGAGGTGTTTCATTTATTTTTATTTGCTGTTATTTTTTTAAATTTTAACGTTTTAATGTACTTAAAAAATTAATTTGAACTCTTAGGTTTATGATTATAATATAAACACAAAACTAAAATTTTATGTAAAATGACCCATTGACAGGCAGTTGTTTTATTTATGCTTTTTTATATACGCATTTATATATAAAAACGTGAGCATCTCAAATTTTTTTATTGGGAAAAATTGATGTAATCGGTAAAGTCTATAATTTCTAGTTATTTAGCCTTTTATGATTATGAGAGTCCATATACATCCAAAATCTTCAAAACTCGGGAAACCCTCGATGATATCTTGGGTACCAGGACACAAAAAAGGGTGACACACTGGCCAGAGGAGGATCTGCAAGACCCCATGCAAGCCATGAACTTATTCTTGGGATAGCAAAAAAAACCCAGAATTTTCGATCACAGGTCCATGAAAGACAAAAGAAGAAATGGATAAACACTAGAGGCGCTTGATAAAGTTAAAACAACCGTCACCAAGACATGAAAACTCATTGCTACAGTTACTAAACTCGTTGCTATAGTCCTCAAGAGGAGGAGGACTATAAAACGGTTAGTGGATCTGAGAAAACATCTGTTCTTAATGATGACATCATTTGTAGGTTATGCAATGAGGTGGAAGAAACTGCCAACCATATCATCTACGAATGCGAAACAACCGCTCACTGGGATACAAAGAAAACCAAGAAAAAGAGGAATTGTAGCCAATGGCAGTCAATGACTCCTTAGAAAGTATATGCAAAAGGCTCTGTGGAAGAATGTGGGAACTAAATCTTAAAATGACTTTATGCTCTCATATCTTACGATTGTCTGACGAATCCTATACCTATCCAGGTTTTGGTGACCAACAAAACAAACAAAACTTGGAAACATTTGGATTTAAGTATAAAATATTTGAATGAATATCGCAGAAACGTAGCCGAAACTTCTGATGAAAAGCAAAATAAAAAGATGTACCTTCGAATATGCTTTAATACAAGAATATAAAGACGACTTACACAATAATGGTTAAAGAGAAAGAAAAGAAAAATTAAATGAAGAACTACGCTGGTATTTTATATTTATGTACCGCTAGGTTGTATCCTTGATCCTATTTTAATATCTTTTATATTGTTGACGTACCAATACATCCTGACACTATTATAACCACCTACGCGGACGACACCGCAATCCTATCCTCTAATTAGAATCCAGTCCAAGCTATCTCCAACATCTAGGGACACCTTGAGCTTATCGATGTCTGGTGTAAAAAATGGAGAACAAGCCTGAAAGAAGAAAAATGAACTCAGTGTACTGTTACGCAGAAAAAGATTGTACATCAACAACAAACCAGTTTCCAATCAAGTCAAATACCTGGGACTATATCTCGGCAGCAGACTGACGTAGAATCCCCACACAAGACTTAAAAAACAGCAACTAATACAAGACTTGGACTACTACTAAGACTTTTAAGGCCGAAGTCGACTTTGACAATTAAGACAAAGCTAACAATGTACAAGACTTTACCAAGACCAATATGGACATACGGAATGGAACTGTGTGCCATTGCCAAGCCTTCCAATATCCAGCGCACCCAGTCCTTCCAATCGAAAGTCCTTAGACAAATTGTCAAAGCACCTTATTATGTCACTAACCACAAAGACCTCAACATTCCTTTTGTCAACGAACTAATCCGGTCCAGATTCCAAACTTTCCATACCAACCTTCGAACCATCCTAACCATATTGCTTGAACCCTATCCACTCATTCCCATCATGACAACTCGCCTCGTCGCCTCAACCGAAGATGGCCTTGGGACCTCCTTGACCCTTAATCATACACACGTGCCAGCAATGGCTGCCTCCTCAAAGCATGTGTTCTACCGGTGCAATCAGTGCTGGCATTAGTGCAAGTGTTGTGCTGTGTGATATATTAATCATGTGTACATAATTGTATAGTATATTATCCTGTATAGGTAACAAAAAATTTATAAAGATTTATTCACAAGGTGAATGTGTGAAATTTGATTCTTAATTAGGATTGTATTTTTATTTTATTTTATTTTTTTATTATATTTTACAGAGCAGTTAGTGTTTAAAACTATGTATTGCTTATTTAATTTTAATCTTTAAGTCTAGACAAATTACCATGTACAATAGGAAAAACAACAAGGGAGTCCTTTTTAAAGTAAATTATTAAAATAATAATTTGATAAAATAAAAAAAATCAATCTTTCTTAATCCTTAGCCATTGTGCTTTAGGAATAGGACGGATGTTAATGTTCCTCCCTTTTTTAGTCCCTTCAAATCTGTAATTTTTTGCAAAACGAGATACCAGTTTCCATTCAAGTCATATACCTGAGACTATATCTCGACAGCAGACTGACGTGGAATCA